CAAATCTGGAATATCGTATACAGGTTTATTAAAAGTTTCAATACACCAAGGGCATTTTTTAGTTCTTAGTGACTTAAAATATCCAGAAAAAAAAGAAAAACGTATGTAAAAACATTGGACGAGGATTTGTCGGAAATCAGTCTAAAGCCACCCTGTCAACACAAAGCCACACGTCACCTGCCTAAAGCCACCCAACAATGGACTATACCATTGTATAGTGGGGATGCTCAGTCTTGATCGTGCCATTGAGAAAATTTTCTCTATGATCCTGCTCTATAACAGATTTATACTGCTAGGAGCTGTTTGTATCAGGCCAACTATTTTATTCAAATGTAGTCTTATGAATGTCAATCTGGGAGTAACCTAGAGTTGGCATAAACATTCAGTACTCCAAGTGTAATACAAAATAAGGTGTAAATAAACATAGCTTCCCTTAATATGCAATCAAGAGGTTTCTAAAAATGTATTTTTCCGGTCAAAATTTTCATTTACCCAGTGTCATCACGTGTTACCATAATATAACTGTTATTCTTTTCTTTAATCATTTTTACTTAAGTTTTTACATTCTCATTATTAAAAGAGAGTGAATTAATTCAAGGTTTGTTATTGACCAAAAGGGAATACATTATAGATAGTCATTGCATTACACATTATAACAAAATGATAATTATCAATAGTAATGAATATATGTTAAAAACATCAAACTTAATCAAATGTCACATATAATTATTATAGGCTCTTTATATATTCGTTGCCTACAGTACTTGTCTAGAATAAATTTAGTAATTAATAGTAAATATTTATTAATTAATTTTCATATCAGTAAAAATATTACATCATATTTCATGATTCAGATTCAGATTCAGATTATTCTTTATTGACAAAGCAATGTCATGAGGGTTGTCTTCCTTGTTGTTTTTGCTGTTGTTGTTCCTTGTTGGGTTAAAGATTATAAAAATACACCAAGATACAGAAAAAGTTAGTTAAATATATATCAAACACATACGGTATATTTATATACAAAAACAAGGTGAGTTAAAATAAATTTTAAAATATAAATAATGATAAAGATATCCAGTGTATTTCAGTGCAGATGTCGAAGTTTTATGAGCGTATGGCAGATGGTATTAATTAGTTCTTATATCTGTTGGTTTAAACATTGGGATGACGGAGTCTACCAGATCTAATTGCAACAATGAGCAACTATGGCCGTTGGTTACACTTGGAGCTAATGTTAAAGTATTATAATTCTAGTTATAGTCTAGTTTTTAACAATTTCAACCCGTTAATATTTGATAATTAAACATTCATGATTTATATCATTCGACTTCCTGTTATCTGCAATGATTTCGTTTGTTTCATTTACATTAAAAGTTAGATAATTATGTTAAATAAATAAATACTCAGTAAATAAATAACTAATAATAAGTAAATAAATATTTGTCATTTCTAATAAAAAGAAGGGGAAATAAAATTTTAGATGATAAATAATGTGCTTTTGTTTAACCAGTGCACTAAATTTTACAAACCTGCAACATTTCAGGTGCACTTCGGTAAAAATACTTCTGAAACCAGATGAATTTATTCAAAGAGTAAATAATAGTTTTGGTGTAGTGTAAGTATGGTTTATGTAGGTCACTTGGTTTTATCAATTAAAATATATCCTAAGTAATAAATGTTTGACCTTGTTCTTAAGCCACCCTTGTCTAAAACCACCCAACAATGGACTATACCATTTTAAGGTGGGGTCCAATAGATTGTTTGTCCTGATCTTGCTCTACAATAGGTTTAGGTTTCTAGAAATTATTTGTATCAGACCTACTATTTTATTCGATTCTGTTTTATGAATATGCCTTTTCCAGGAATCGCGGTAGACATGTTTAAAGCTACGTTTACATCAAGCCCGGTTTCCGGTCCGGAATCCGGAGAAAAAATCGTGAAAAATGGGTTCAGTGGTAAAGGGACCGTTCACATCATCAAATTCGTACGATTTTCAATCCGGACTCTGGATCTGGACTGATGGATCTGAGAGCCATTTGTATCCTGAAATCGTACGTTTTTTTTTCCTTAGACCAATCAGCAACAAGCTTGCTTGGTTCGAACCAATCGAACGCATAAGTACTTAACCCAAACAACCGTGTTCCGTGCGCGATGTGAACGCAGCGTTCAAAGAACGTAGCAACTCATGATTTTTTGTCCGGGCTTCGGACCGGATCCGGGCTTGATGTGAACGTAGCTTAAGGGATGACAAACAACCCAAGTCAGTGGTGCGTAACCAAAAAAAATCTCAAATGTAAGGGGTGCCCCTCCCAAACCACCCCCGCTCGTGCTTTCTCACCTCCCATGGCCACATAATGCAAACAATTTAAAATGTAAAAGAAAAAGGTCTTGTGTTCGATGTCGAATATATAAAACACCGGCTACCGGCACATTGACCTCTGACGGTTAGTGCCAACAAATTTGATTATTGTTGTTTATTTCCGGGAATTATTTCAGCCGCTCCAAATTTCTTTCCTATTCTTCTTTCTTCCTATGCTTCTTCCTTATTTTTGTTAAATTTAATTTATTTTACTAAATACTTATTTATGCATTAGGCCTATATATATATATATATATATAATATATATATATTATATATATATATAATATATATATATATATATATATATGTATATATATATTTGAGAGAGCAGCTCAGCTCAGTCGGTTTTCCATGTCTGTATTGTATAATGTCATTTATGAAATAATAATTAAGACCCTGGATTAAGCCCCTACTGAAGATTCCTGTACTGCATGTTAATTATTATTTAATAAATGACATTATACAATACAGACAAGGAAAATTTAATATATTAAATTGAATTAAATGTATTAACTTTCCGTCACCCTTTTTCTGGAATAGGCCTCCGTGGCAATTTTGTTTAAAAGCAGTGAAGCAATGAAAATAATAACAATCTAATCTGGAGCCTCCATCAGCTTCATAAGGCCACCCTTGCAGCTCTTTATCACACTTCCCCTAATGACGGTTAGAGTATATTAACCGACACGTTATTACAATCCAAACGGTTCTCCTCAAAACCACGATACCATCAATTGGGATTTTTAACATATGCCACATGATTTACCGAAAACATTATGCCTAATTATTTATTAATTCGCAATCATGCTGTAAAAGTTGTAATTTTAATTTATTAGGCCCATTGTCTGTTAGTAAGATAAATTGTTCATGCGATTAAAATTGGAAAATTTATAGACTAAGTGTATATTCATACATTCATTCTCATGCGGTATATTTTATTCAAAAATTCAAATATAAACAATACAAAGGTAAAAAGTAATTGCCAAATATACCATTGTAGTAAAAAGAACTAAATTGCATTAAATTTGCAAGCAAAAAACAATTCACAATAAGCATATAAATACTTAAAAAGCAGAAATGCAAGCATTAAAAAGCAGAAAAGCAAGCGTTAAATTAAGAAGAAGAAAACAACAATTCACAATAAACGTACAAATACTTAAAAAGTGAAAAAGCGTATTCCAATAAATAAAAAAAAAAAAAAAAAAAAAAAAACATTCATAAAGAGAAATAATTAAAAATGTCAAAAATCATTATTATAAAAATTTACATTCAAATCTTTAATCCAAACATGGTCATTATAATTTATTATAGTAATAATTGCAATAATTCATACTTAAAATGAAAAAAGCAAAGGACAATAAAAAACATTCAAAAAGAGAAAAATGAAATTTCCAAATTCATTATCATTATAAAAATAGTTGTTCTAATTCTAAGTATTCATTAATTCAATATTTATTTGAATATTGCACAAGAAAAAAACGTGATCGTAATTATTTATTGTTGTGGTTAGTACAATCATTCTTAATTCAATTTGCAAAACCACTGAAGACCCCATCAAAGTACACAACAACCAAACAGAAGAGAAAATTGGACTGCAATAAAAAAAAAATTATTAATTATTAAAGCTATTGGTAATGATGAATTCAATTATTTAAATAGAGAAAACATTGATAATTATTTACAGTTATTATTTATGCTAAATTTTTAAGAAAAGAGAATATGATAAAATGTACACTGCTCTTCGATTGAGATTGGGGAAGGTAAGTACTATTCCGTATTCAATAAATCAATAAGAAAGGGTAAGGGGCTATTTCTGTATCTGGAAGTGTTGCACTTTAACTGGGATACTTTACTACCATTTCTGAAATTGTAATTCACTCTATCACACCGCAAATCGGGCAACAACTGACAGAATTTAGGGTATTTTTGGAGTTTTTTTTTCAAATTTTTTAGAAATAAGTAATCTACGTTTGCTGAGCGTGTACACAAAGTACATGCACCATTATATAATGTATAACTGTTACCCAAAATGATAAGAAGAGCTCTTTTCTGAAAAGATTCTAACATATTAATTTGTCGGTTAGTGAGGACAGAATTCCAAACTGGGGTAGCATAATTTTTCCAATAGTGAACGTACGTATCCTTTATATATTGTGATCTAATCTGGTCTTGATAGGTTAAATTTCTTTAAAAGTTTTAACATAAATAATTTACCGTTCACTACAGTATGGTACTACAGACCATTGATTGTTTTCATTTCTTTCTGTGATAACAACCTAATCTCTACGTCTAAAATAAGACTAACTATTATATATTATTTTACTCTGAGGCCCCATAAATTGATATTCCAGGGATCCCAATTTTGGATAAAAAATAAAAACCTACAGGCAAAACTTATTGTTTTCTTACACCTGTTGTATGGTACTGGATTTTACTATGGCGTGTGATTACCATGACCCACACTTTGTAGACGAGATTAGGAAGGAAAACGTACTACAGCTGAAATTATGCATGACGTCATCTTAAGAAGCCATGCCTCCCTCGGCTGAAGTGGTTGCATTTAGCAACTACCAACTGTTCGCGTGGTAGTTGAAAGAAAGTTTGATAGACAGTTACATTTTTGAATTGCTTTATATTTTAGTTTTTGCCGGAGTGGTTTACGAGGGCCCTGATTGTAAACGTGAATGCAAATCACCAGCGGAAAATGCCGTCTGTAAGTACAACTTTGAAGTGGAATGGTACCACTCTTTGTCCAAGGCATGCTACGACTGCCCCTTTAATCTCAGCCACTGCAAGCTGGAAGACTGTATTCCACTAAATGGTGTAGAGAGACCGGTTATGGTGGTGAATAGAGCATTGCCTGGTCCAACAATAGAAGTTAGTATTGTACTTTTATTATCATTATTATTATTAATATTTTCATTTTGCTATTACAGTACAGTACAACTTAATACCTGTAAGTTATTGGTGTGCTGCAAGTGGGCTACATCACGGATATAGCACCACACATGACCCGCACGCATTAATTGTTTCTCATACAGTTAAGGCAAAAAGTGTAGAAGGCGCTATTCTAGGTCAGTTTGGTGAAATTATATACATGAATATGCATGCTTGACCTTCCCCTCGAGAAACCTTATCCTTATCATAACAGACTGTGAAAAGGCGTTTGTCAAAGTCCCGCACCAGAAGCCTCTTCAGAAAATGCGTACATACGGAATAGTTGGGAAAACCTTGAAATGGATTTAATCTTTCCTTACTAAACGTAACAAAGGGTTGTAATTGAGGGTAAATATTCGGATTGGGCTGAGGTCACTTCTTGTATTCCGCAGGGGACTGTTACTGGCCCCCATGGGCTTTGTGATTTACATTAATGATCTACCCGAAAATATTACTTCGCACCGACTCTTTGCAGATGACTGTATCATATATAGGGTCATAACTGGGTCTCATGATGCTGGTGATTTGCAAAAGGACCTTGATACGTTTACTGCACGGGGTAGGACAAATCAGATGAAAGTTAACCCAAATAAATGTTGTGTCTTGAGAATCACTAATGCAAAAAATATACACAACATAATTACTTAATTGATAATACTGTGCTTAATGAAACTAAGGATCACACCTATCTTGGAATTAACATAAATTGTAAGCTTAAATGGAATTTACATATTAAACAAATTATCAATAAAGCAAATAAAATGTACGTCGCAATTTGTAATCGTGATCCCGACATATTAAAGACCTTGCTTATAAATCATTAATTAGGCCGATACTTGAATATGCATCTGATATATGGATCCATTTACTAAACAATTAATCCAAGATATCGAAGCTGTGCAAAACAGAAGTGCGAGATTTGTCTTGAGTGACTACAGCAGATTCAGTAGCGTCTCTGCTATGAAAAAAGAACTAAAATGGGATTCCTTGCAATTAAGGAGATCCTTAAATAGAATGACCATTTTTCAACAAGCTCTACATAATCGCCTTGCCATTCCATTACAAGTGCACTTGCGTCCTGTCACATACTTCTCTAGACATTGTACATATTCCGAAGTGTCCGCCCAAAAGGACTGTTATAGATTTTCCTTCATACTAAGAACTTTACGAGACTGGAATCAAATTCCTAATTAAATTGCATCAATAGCAGACAAAGAAAGGTTCAAGATTGCTATATCCAACCACCTAAGGAATACAGAACGCCAGAGCCATATATATAAAGAGTTGCGACATTCCGCTCCTTGATTTACGAAAGTCACGTGGTACACACCGTCCATTTTGTTTCATAATCTTCCCGATGAACACATGCAAAGTATATGTGTTACGTACATTGCATATTCATTTCACACACTTAATTGGATTTACAATTATATTTTATAATTAACATCACTTAGTAT